GGGGGGGGGGGGGCGGACAAGAATGTTCCAGGACACCAGTGTATGTAGGACGGCAGAGCTGTGCACGCTCTGGGGGCCCGCACCGCCCCCACATGATGCCACCCTGCAGCGATCCATTGGCCCTCTGTAGAAACACGGAGGCTAGACCAAGCTAGGACCCACCCCAGGACCCTGGTGTCACCCTGCCTCAGGGTCTGAGTTTGAGGGTGCTGCCCGGGTAAAGCCCTGCTCACTGGGATCCAAGGATGGCTGTGCCCACTGCCCACGCAGAAGGCTGTATTCAGGCAGGTGGCTGCAACTTCGGCCTGTCAGCTGGAGGCAGAGCTCTTCAAACTGCTGCTTGTGGTGGGGTCGCACGAACTGGTAGAAGCCTGTGGGGAGGGGTTATGGTCATGTGGTACCACATGCTACAGTCACCCACCCCCACTTTTGCTAGGGAGCAGGGACAATCCTGCACCCTGGTGGCGCACCCAGTGTCCCCTATAGCCCCACCCCATGGTTTTGGCACTGCCCCAAGGCACCTTGAAGCAGGCTGTGCTTCTTGGGGTCTTCGGCAAAGAGGGGGCTGAGGTGGTCCACCAGGGCCTGGAAATTGTCTGAGCCCTTGTACTCCTGCAGGGCCCGGGTGAAGGAGTCGAAGCTGGCCTGGCTTAGCGCCTGCTTCACGGTCACAATGAACAGCTTGGCTCTGTCCGCTTGTGCACCTGCTGCCAGCCCCTTCTGCTGGACAGACCCAGGAACCCCATGAGACACACCTGACAGGGTGCGGCTGGCAGGTGGGCAGGGGTCCCACTGAAGGGAACCAGGAGGCATCTGCAGGGAGGCCACACCTCTCAGGAGTAGCACGTGCAGATTTGATCCCCTGGGCTCCCCCCCTTTCCCCCACTGGGCTCTGTGCCTCACATGAGGGTGCAGCTGCAGCGGACACACTCCCAGCTTGGAGGACAGTCCTGGCTTGGAGGTTGGCAGCTTGCAGCAAGGGACACTTCTCAAAACCCAGGGACTGAAAGTGTCCCGTACTGCGTTTCTGCTGTGCACCCCAGGATGACACTGGGCCCCACACAGGGAAGAGTGGAAACCAAGTGGGAGGGCCCAGGCTTTCTGGTCTGCCCAGCTGGACCCTCAGAGCACAGGCCCCTGGCACCCTGCCCACTTCCTGACAGTGCCAGACCCCCCTCCCCTGGGCACCGCCTGGTTCTTGACAGAAGCAGCAGAGACAGACTGGCAGTGCTCGGGGCTTTCAGGAGGCTTCTCAGCTTAGGCTGTCACTCAGTTGCTCTCAACTCTTTTCATCTGAGGCTGGGAGCACAGACCCTCCCCACGTGTGGGTATATCAATGTCCACTCCTGCCAGAGCCCAGTACTGCTCAGGGAAGCCAGCCTGGCTGCAGGCCCACCCCAATCCAGTCTCTGGGGCTGGGGCCTGACTCGCCTGCTAGGGGGACAGGGCCTTCTGTGGAAGGAGCCCGTGGGTCTGAAAGGACCAATCTGACCACAAGTTTGCAGGACTCAGTGTGGGGAAACTGCCCCTAGAGCAGGAGACACCATGGCCGGTGCCATGCCGTGCTGTTCTTGCAAGCTTTATGGGGGGGGGGG